AAACATATTAAGTCAAGCTTCCCTTTGACTGGTGCACCCCACATGGAGCTGACAGGAGACTGAGCATGCAACTAAGACTAATACATGGAAAAAGGGGAAATAGGAAGGGTATCTGGATACGTGTGAGAGTTCCCCAGAAGGGATGGGATCTGCTAGGTAAGGCCTGGTGGGGACTCACAGGAGCTCCCCAGGATCTGGTAATCAGTGCAAGAGCCTATGGTGAAGTCCCTGAGGATAACAAGGGAAGTAGTGGTGGCAGCTTTGCCATATAGCCCCAGCTGTGAAGGGAAGGGTACATTTGTGTACCAGAAATTTACCCTATCTAAAGGTATGTTTACACTGGAAAGATATCAGAGCTCAAGTGAATTAGCTCAAGTTCCTGATCCAGTTTAGCAAAAGCAGAATAAATTTGCAAAAGCAGAATAAATTAGCCTGTCTGGAGCTCCAGACTGCTGCAGCTAGACTGGCTCTAGTACCCGGGTCATCTTCGGTATCTCTCATCTGCACTGAAGTATAGGTGTGTCCTAATTTGCTATTAGAGCAGTGGTTTTCAACTTGTGGTCCATGGATCCCTGGGGGTCTACAGGCTATGTTTAAGGGAGGGTCGGCAAAATGGCACACCCGGCTGGCAGCCAGACCCCATTTCCCAGCAGCAACTGCCTGCATGGCTAGGGCTTGTCTCCACGGTGACCGCAGCCACATTTGTGCATGGCTAGGGTTCCCATAGAGGCAGGGCAAGGCAGGGCAGATGGCTGTTCCAGAGCTGCTGGGATCTTGTGGCGGGGGCAGCTTGGTCCAGGGCCATGGCAGAGTCACAATCTGCTGACTGCACGCCCCTTCCCAGAGCATGCAGGCTAGAGATCATGGCTCCTCCTCGGCTCCTTGCATCGGGGACAGCGTAGTCCTGAGCCAGGGCCGACCAGCAAAGCACTGCCTGCACACCCCTTCCCAGAGTGCGCAGGCTGCAGATTGCAGCTCCTCCCTGGCACTGGACCAAGCTGCCCCCACCACAAGATCCAAGCAGCTCCAGAGCAGCCTCCTGCCCTGCCTTGCCACATGCCCTGCCAACAGGCTGGGGCTGGTCTCCATGGCAACAGCTGGGGTCTCCATGAAGACTGGCCCCAGCCATGCGGGCAGGGGCTGCTGGGAAACGGAGTCCACTGCTGGCCAGATCCAACCCGCAACCTGGACTTTGCGAGCCCCTAGTCTAAGGGATCCGCAAAAGATGGCTATGATCAATCAAAGGTACATGATTACTCATAATTGCAATTCAAAAGACTCTGTACCTTCACTCAAAATTTTTCAAATGAAAAATGTTGAAAAGCACTGAATTAAAGTTAACTCTGCTAAGGATAAGAAGCAGAACCTCTAACTGTCTCACTACCATGAGTGGGTTAAAGGAAACTGAGGGTTGGATTAGACTTCTCCACACTTTAATGCCCTCATCTGGCATATATTACATAAATACATTCCAATCAACATTACTAGCTGAAAGATTCTAAACACACACACAACACACACACTCCCATGTTCATCTCAATTAGGCTCCACATAAAAACACATTCAAATAAGGACTCTGAAGGATCTGACCAACTCAGTAGCAGTTGTGGAGGTACCAGCATGTGTTTCTTGAGTCTTAATATTGTTAATACCTGGGGTGGGGTTTACCACAGGACAAAAAAGGTGGCACTCCAAAAGCATGAGACATAATGCACTTAGGTTCAGCCTGACAAAATCTAGAAAAGCAGCATTACTGGCTCAACTCTTTCCAAAAAGTGTCAGGCACATGACTTCTCTGAAATTCTTCTTTGGTAGCTTCCATATTAAACATCAATGCCTTTCTTAAGATTATCCAACTGCTGTATTATGAAAGTATGTGCAAAAAAGGATAGAAGTAAATGTACATAAACTGTTATACTTACACTTAAGCCAAAATCTAATTTAAAAATAATATGGTAACTATAATAGACCATACTAATCCTAGGACAGGAATTTCTAAACAGCCTCTCCCACTAAAACTGGACAGCACAGAAGACAAATTTCCATTCTAAACAAATGCAACAAAGCTTGCTGAAATCATCATCCTGTTTCTTTTTCTTCAAGCATAAGTACAGCATGCTGCACACCTGCATCACAAAACCTTACAATTCTATTCTTACCTTGCATCAAGTAACATATACAATACCTTCAGGTCTGCACCATATTCCACTAGAGATTTTATATGTATTTTGTGTAATGATTGACAGAAAGCCCCTTACAACAAATAAGGTAAGAAGTGTTTTAATAATACTTATTAATCTGGGAAATTACATTTTGGTTCCACTCCCCAGCACCTACAAATCCACTCTGAAACTGCTTTCCTGTTTTTTAACATTATTCACGTATATTCCTCCTGACCCCTTCTGATCTTACATCCACTTATCCTATTTATACATTGGTCCCCTCCCTACAACTCTCCATTGTTATTTATGTTCCTCTTTGGCTTGTGCTGCTCTGCCTAGGATTCTCTCCCCTCTCCAAATCTCTATTGGCTTATTAAGGATTATTAAATCCCACTCACATTTCACTTTTGCTGGTACTTAATCTTTTCCATTTCCTCTCACTACAGATTATCTGTAAAAATATTTTGTGGCACATTTATCTCAAACTTACTCTCACAACTTTCTCTTTATTTACAGAAAAGCCCCAAATCCTGGTATTTCTTCTCTCATTTACATTACTTCTCTGCAATTCTACATGGATCACAGCTAAAACTGTATAATAATGTACAATAAATGATATCCCAAGATTAATTAAAGCCTGAAGATACCCAAGTTGTGCTCAGCACTCTGGTTTGAGAAGATGATGCAAAACTCCAGGGCTCCAGTAACACCTCAGTCTGTTCTAACACAAGGGGAGTCTGGGCACATGTACAAGTGGCACAAGCAGGCTTTGTATGTGGTACAAGGTAGATGAGAGGGTGGGCAGGCAGCACAGCAGCAGACAGGGCAGAAAGCTGAAAGCAGACAACAGACTAGGCAGGGGAAAGCGACAAGAGTGGCACTCAGAAAGGTGCAAGGCTAATTTGTGGTATGCCTGTCAAAAAGGTGGGTCCCAACTGCTCAACCATAAAGGCATCTAGGGACAAATCACCCAGAGCCAAACATCCTTCATCAGAATGCCCCTTTGACAGCAAAAAAGCAAGAGCAACTAGGTCTAACGTTTATGGGCAGGTGGGGATGCGTTAGCAGAGCATAGCTCCAAGCATGGACCTGCTTCTAACACAGGCTGCACCACCACTACCACAGCTGCAGGCACCAGTCCTTCCCACAGGGTTGCTGCCAGGATTTCTCCTTGCCACCACAACGGTGAACCCCCCGCCAGATCTGTGGGCCAGATAAAATGGCTAAGCGGGCTGCATCCATCTATGCAGGGAAAAACTCCCACATAAGACAATTCCTAATTTCTGGCTCAGTGGACCACTATTCTGTCCCTTCTTTGCTACTAAAACAATGAATGGGGATGGGATGAGGCAGCATACTTGCTGCAATGCAATGAGCAAATCAAATTAAAACATTAGAAAAAGTGAATGTGGGCCAATTTTTGGCTTGAATCTGAGTTTCTGACAAGCAAGAGGAAAGTTGACACGGTTTGCATATATGCCCATCAAGGTTTCCCTCCAGTTGCAAAGAGGCAGTCATCCACAGACAGCTACTGAAACCAACAAGGGCCATGGCCTTTACGTGGGTCATTTTCTTGCACGGCATTACAGCCTGAGACCTCTTTTCTATTCACAGAGTATCTATAAATAATCTAACTTGACAAGTTTGCTCATTTTCAGTGCTTTTTTTAAAATTCAAACATATGTCAATCCCTGTCTAGCACCATTACAGCACTGCTACACGCAATTTGAAAGCCACGCTGCACGACTGGTCTCCTGAGCTACGTGAGGGCTGTTTTCCATAATGAGACGCCTCTCCAAGCAACAGTTCTCAGAAAAGCGACTGAAACGTCTCTGGTTTAATTGCCAACTGTAACCAACTTTCACAACCGTCTCGCCCTGAATGGGACAGCGTAAACGACTGCTTGGACAAATGAGTCAGCAGCCATAAGTGAAGAGTCCAGGAAGAACAAGCAGAGGATCTCGGGGGTGGGAAGACCCTCAAGGGCGGAGTCCAGCGGGGGCTGACTGTTTCCGGCAGGCATGGCACACATTCACCCTGTGCCCTCCCCAAGCGCCACCCAATTTGCTGCTCTGCTTTGTGCTCTTCCCAAACCGCCACTCCAGTCCCCTTCCCAACATGCTGCACCCCCACAGCCCCCCCAAGCACAGCTCAGATCTCCTTCCCTTGCCCAGCCTGCTGCTCTGCTCCCTCCGTGACCTCCCCAAAGGCCCGTCCGGCCTGTGCCATCTGCTGCTCTACTTTCTGTTCCTCCACACTCACCAGGAGTGCCACTCCAAGCCCCTTTGCCTGCCTGACCTGCTACCCTGCTTTCTGCTTCCCCCATACCCTCCCTAAGGGGCACTCTGGGCACCCTTCCCAACCTGCTGCTCTGTTTTCTGCTCCACCAGAGTGCCAGCCCCACCCCCTTCCCAACCTGCTGCTCCACTTCCCGCACCCCTAGGCCCTCCTAGAGCACTTCAACACCCTCCCACCTGCTCTACTGCTCTGCTTACTGTTCCCCACCCTCCTGGAGTGCTGCTCAGACCCTCTTCTCCTCCCCTACCTGCTGCTCTGCTTTCTGCTCCCCCCACACCCACACTGAGGACTCTCTAGTCCAGCAGAGATCAACCTTTTGACACCCAACCCGCCCCCACAGAAGGCCACTCCGATCCCCACCCCCCGCCCGACCTGCTGCTCTGCTTTCCGCTCCCCGCCCCGATCCGGCGCCGCATGAAAACTCCCCCGTGCGCTCCCCGAGGTCCCCGGCGCAGGGCCCGTCCCGTCCTGTCCAGTCCCCGATCGCCCCCGCTCACACGGCCCGGCCCGGCGGAGGCAGAGCCAGGGCCGCGGACTCACCGGTTGCCGCGCCCCGTCATGGGAAGCCATGAGGTGGCGGCGGGGGCGCGCGGGGCCGGTAGCGCGACCGGCACCGACTGTTGGAATGTAACCGGCAGCGCGGGCGGGGCTGCCGCAAGAGATGGGGCGGGGCCACGGCAGGGAGTGAGGGAAAAGGGGCGGGGCCGTCTGGAAGGCACCGGACCACGGCGCAGATTATGGGGAGAAGGGGCGGGGCGAGCGG